GGCAAAAGGGGGGGGGGGCAGGCTTGAGTAAAAAGGCTTTTGAAAGATAATTCTCAGCTTCTACAAATTCATACGTAACTGCAATTTTATTATCTGTAGGTATCTTCAACATTGGCTAACTTTGGGCACAAGGAATTATTTTACATGTTTTGAGAAGTTCAGAATTTCATATGAATCTCTCTGATTATTACAATTGGCCAGTTTCAAGGGAACTTTATTAAAAACAACCCTTGCCCCTTCTGCCAAAGGGCAACAGGGGCGGTTGTACCCCCACACCCCCTTCTCTGGCGTCCCTGGAAATAGAAAAACGATGTTCGAAGGAATATTTATGAATACGAAGCAACTATAAACACACATGGTTTATCATTTGCCCATATAGTGGGCGTGTCCCGCAAGCAAGGAGGGCGTGGTTCTGATCCCAAAAGATTTGAGCTATAGTCACCAAAAATCCTGGATCCGCCCCTGTGACTCCCCTTTAAAATACAATGCAATACAATACAATACAATACAATACATTACAATGCAATACAATATAATTCAATACAATACAATACAATACAATCCAATCCAATACAATGCAATACATTACTGTAACGGTTTGGCTTTCGTATTTAATCAATTTAAGTAATATTCCCGTTGCGTGTTATAGTCACATGTTCTGTCAAGTCCTGTTGTGTTAGTGAACAACGCCTTTTTATGGCAATGTGTTTGTCTTTCAACATGTAATGTGATGCTCGTATTGTCCTGTTAATTAGGTTCCGTTTATGTTATTAGTATGTGTCGATCACAATGTACGTTAGATTGAAGCATTAGAGATAACATCAAAGAAGTAGTATCTATTGTGCGTTACTTATTCGGGGCCTAGGCCCTTTGGCCTAGCCCATCGCTCAGCCAACGACCTGGTTCTTTACCGTCATAACAAGAACCCTTATCATTACATTACAATACATTCCATTACAATACATTTCATTACAATACAATACAATACAATACACAACAATACAATACAATCGATTCTATTATCATGTCGTAGTATCATGCTTTGAATTACATTTTTATAAAGCTATAAAATGATGACGTCATAAATGTCTATTCTAATAATTTTTCGAATTTGGATACAAGAGAATCGTGAAGTACCTCTAAACATGTAAAGTCAAGTAAATGTGTTGCGAAGTGGCTAGGAGATGGCCACGAGCACAGGTACAATCCAGGACGAAAGTAGTTGAGACTTTTCAAGGAAAATTGATGTTTTCTCTTTCCTTTGAAAAATGACTTTCTCATGCCCCGATGCAATGTTGAATGCATGATTTTGAAGCAAAAATGATAGAACAAAAATATTTATTTGGAGGGAAAGGGGGACTTGAATTTTACAGAGGCAACGTTAAGTAGAAAATTGCAAAAATTGTACTTCGTCTGAAAATTTTTTCCGGAATCAGGCTAGTCCACAATTAATTGCAGAGACCTTTGCCATTTTGTATTTGTTCAGGACATTGTAATCCGTTAGCAAAATTTTCATTTTCCATACAAATTTTTCTTTATATGTAACCGATTTTGCTTTTTTGAAGTATTTCATGGTGTTTTTTATGTTATGCTGTCAAAATTCAAATATAAGTTTATTTTTATGACGTACTGCCTTTAAGAACAAATAAAGAACAAGCTGAGGCTGAGCTACTGTAAAATGCAATTTTGAACAACGTTTTATCTCACAAGCGAGAATTTTCAGCCATGTGTTGGTTCTTTTTAGGTGAATATTCAAACTAGTCGGCAAATGAAGGTTGTCTCACTCACTTTGTTGGCAAATGAGGCCTGAACACCTCCCTAGTGCGAAAAAGCAAGGAATCGCACTGCTTACACCCTATCAATTTAAGAACAACTATAGAACAATCCAGCCTAAGATTTTCGAAAAAATTAAGAACAGTCAGCCTGAACTTAAATTTACTGGTTCTTATAAACAAGGAGTGTATAGGCCGAACAGGCTTTTTACTGCGAATTTTTTGGTTTTTTCTTCTTTGCGAGTCCACAGAACCCCAATCGTAAAAGTACACATGGAAGAACTCTATTCAACCCTTCAATAGATGTTCAAAATTTGGTTCATCATGTTTAGTCATTGCTTATAACCCGCAAAATACATTTTAATTCCCCAGGTCATTAAATCTCTCACGAGCTTCAGTATTGCAAAGAGATGCAGTATTCAGACCGGATCTCAGTTGTTGCAATTTTGAAAAACCCTCGTGTAAGATATGAAAAAAGTACACGCTGAGGTTGACAGATCACTTTCAGGACAACCTTGTGGCCTTCCTTGCATTCAGATTTCTCATTACTTCCAGCATCATGACACTAGTAGTGGACATTAACATTCTCATCTCTGCATTCTCCAATTTCCTTTCAAGTTGATGTTAAACGCTGCCGATCCAAGTCCATGTAACTTGACTGGCCCTACAATAAGCTTGCACCAGTTTCTATATTTTTTGGGGGGCTTCCTTGTCACACTTGGTCCCAGTAACCTGTCTGTTTGGGTACTCTTTCGTCCTACTCGCTCACATTCTCAATTTTCCTGAACAATATGTCAAATGTCCTTGAATTCAATTTATGAATAAGAGAAAGAAGAGAAAAGCGAATAAATGTATGAAAAAATTACTTTCATTTATTTATTTATTTCAGGGTTCTAAGGATTCCTACATAGTACACTGACTTTGGGATGCAGGAACGATTGAAGCAATGCTTTTTCAATCTGTTAACAAAGAAGCCATAGAAACCTAGAGTCTAGTTATGCTGGTTTTAAAAATAGGCTAGAACATAGTTTTTTCAGGGAAAAGTGAAAAACTCTTATTCTGAAGGAAAGGATTTTTATAGAGGTTGTTTTTATTTTTTCAAGCTCAACAGGTCCTTTTGATATCATATCTATATAAAATACTTTAGGGGCCAGGGGCTCCAACATGGCCAAAATGGAGTGATAAAGATTTGAAAGGGCTGGGCTGGCTACGCAGAATAACTTGCTGCTGCGAGATTTACCCTAGCCATTTCTTTCAGTAAAATTAGAACGACTTTTCTGGCTTCAATTTGCGAACACCTCCCCCTTGCCCCCTTGAATAGGCCACTGTTGTTTAGTCTTGCTTAAGTCATCATGTTAAAAACACACTGACGCTCTACTTCTTGCGTTTTTAGCCAATCTGCGGCACTGCTGCAAAAGAAAAGTGCACAACAACAAAAATTCGCAGAGCAGTACAAATCAAGATGGCGGTCAATTCGAGTCAGTTATTTCACCATGTTCATCAACGCAGTCGGTGAGTTCTAAACCACTTTTTGTTTCCATGGTATCGTATTTGGTCGCTATGGCAGCAGCTGCGTTATGGTTGTGAATTTGAGAAATGAATTCTGCATATAATGATATATCATGATGTTTGCTCTAGTTGCCGGCCGCGGTAGATCATACACATGTCCAGAGTTCATTCATTTGATATTTAATTTTATTGCAGGATTCGCGGCAGGGTTCTCAGTTGCTATTGGAATTAATTTTCAATGTAATGAAACTTAAATACAATTTAGATCACATTAAATTTAAACGAATGGACATCAAAAGACAACCTTGACTTGTTTATTGTAAACATCACCACCAAAAAGTGAAAATTAATTTATTAGAAAAGCATAGTAAGATGTTTATCAATAACTTATAGGAGACTGCATGACCTCTAAATTGTGACTTCTTCAGGAGATATTTATGTTCGGTGGAAATCTAATAAATGCCACATTTGAATACACATTTGCCGATTCATTGTAAATGCTCTCTAACATACGATCCGTGTGTTTT